GCTAATGACCCCGTGAGTGTGGAGTTCAGAGAAAGTTTTGAGGATTTCTGAAATTTGGTATTCGAGCCACATAAGCTCGAAACGGAAAGGTCGAGCTCCCTGGGAGATAGCCTGGGTATCTAAGAGGATGGGACGGTGGTTTGAAGTGGGATTGGGCATTGCCATAGAGTGGGTTCCAAGAAAAAATTGATCCCATTCCACAGAGGTTAGGAATCGATCGAGCTTAGAGAGAGATGGGTTAAGGGAGTGTTCAGACCAAGTATATTGGGACCCTTCAAGGGGGAATATCTATAAGGTGGTTTTGAAATATGAAAGTTGACAATTGGACCATGGCTGAAGAAATGGAATGGTTAGCATTTCGGTCGTGGGCCCACCAAGTGATGTTAAAATCCCCCCCCTAACCACCACACTGGGGGATCTATGGAGGTTAAAACTTGGAGCTCCTCCTAGAAAGCCGGTTTGAGGTTATCTAAGTTGGGATCGTACATGGCAGTGCACTTTCACTTGACACCATCTGAAATTTAGAGAGCACCACTGTCACCAAAAATGCGCCAATTCTGGAGTCGAGAAGAAAGTGCAAAGATGGATCCCAAAGAAGCTAGTACCTCCTGATACTCCCTGGGCCTCAAGGGCTAACCAATTGAAGGGCCTACTGCCCTAAATGCTTCTAATTTGCGAGAGGGAGGGTGCAAGGAGCCTGGTCTCAACAACTAGATTGGAGGGAGAGAGCTTGGAGCATAGTTCTCGGATGACATCCTTCTTATGTGGACGACTTAGGCCTTGAATGTTCCACATCAATACCTTCATTTGGACAGGGGGGAGGGGTGAATGCACCTTAAGCGTTGGTTTGAGAAGACTGGTTGGTCACCTAGAATTGAGTTGAGTGCAAGTGTTTGGCCTCCAGTCACGAAGTTGACGTCAAAAGTTAAGTTTGCAAGCTCCCTCCCTTTGTCCTCTAGGTTTGGATTGAGGATTGTTGCTAGAAGCTACAAAATGTAGTAAGGCTTCCTTTGGACCTTAAAATTTGAAGCCCATCACCCCAAAGTTGTTGGAGACGAGAGCCGGATCGGTACGAGATTCGTCGAACCACCCTATAGTGGAAGCTCCTTGGGTTAGGATTGGCGTCTGTACAATGAACAAGACAAGGAACAAGAGCCTTAGGTTTATGGGAGCGAGTTCCCATGTCAATGGGTTCGATGTTTGACTAGTAGGAATCTAAGCTCCACTCTACATAAAAATGAGGCTGTCAATTAGAGATAGTGTACGAGTTCCCTTGGTTAAGGAATCGAGATTTAAGTATGTCATATAAGGGGGTTCCTCTTGTTCTAATATCGAAATTCAAAGTTTAGGAATCAAGGTTCACTAGTTGGCCCCAGCAACTCAGAATCTTACCACTCAAAGAGTCATTTTCTTCGAATGTAGTCTCCTCTGCTTCCATTGTTTCTCAAAGGCTGGCTCTCCGAAGGTACAAGATGAACTACTCTCTCTCTCTCATATAAAAAAAACTTTTTAAAGCTTGAAATGAAAATATATATTTTCATCGCACGACTAGAGGATTTGTTATTGTGATTTAAGAATCTAAAACAATAGGACATCATAAATATAAGATTTTAAATGAAATATACATTCTCACAACTAAGAGGGATGGCTTGCACAATAGGACTTAATAAAACAATGGGTCTCTCTAGACTATGCCTAGTTCAAATTAAAAATCTAAAATAATAGAATTTCATACTATGTGAAAAAGGGACATGATTTTACCATCATGGAACTTATGATTCCTAAATAATATGAACTTGGGACAATGGCAATCTCTAGCATGGTATCGTCCGTTAATGAAAATAGATCCCCCAAATATGGAACCCAATATTTTAATGAACCAAAACGTTGATGGGAGTGGGGATCTATTTCGAAATAGAGCTGGATTCTGCTGATGGGTGGAACGTGATCCCCTAATTGGGGAGCTGGATACCAAAATTGAAAGCCGGGGTCCCTACAAGATCCCTTGTAGGAACTGTGGGATCGAGGTTCCGGAGTGGGATCGTCACCCTACCCACAAGGTTCCCTTAACTATGCATCACCGTCATAACTTGGAAAACCTTTCCTTGGGCATGGTCCATGTCTTGGACGAAGACGGAGTCTACCGATGCTGAGGAGCCATTAGAGGTGAAATCCGAAAAATCTTAGGAGGAAATGGGAGCCTGTCATTGGAGATTGTTGCTACCTACCCAAGGGATTTAGATTGTTGTTTCCTACCCAAGGGAGTTAATATCTGTGGGGAAGGACTTATTGGGATGTGGGTGGGTGTGGGTGTGGGGACAGGGGGGAGGAAGTTAAGGATAAGGGAAAAATTGCACCGGAGAAGAAGGGGTGAGAGCAACTTGATGTGGCGAAGGAGAAACATGAAGTGGCAGGGGAGCGGGGGACAAAAGTAGTAAAGGGGACACTTCAGACAGTGCAACTGAACAAGGGTTGGGTGTCGCAAGGGTTGAGAGAGCAGTGTAGATAGGGGATGGTTTTCCAGAGCTCCGATCGGGGGTGGCGGGGGGCATTGAAGGAGATAGAGAGGGGCTGAAAGCGAAATGGGGCATGGAGGGGCTGAGACCCCAAGGTAGTGGAGGGGAAAAGAGGGAACAATCTCATAAGGATGAGAGAGAGGTGCAGAGCTAGGGCCTCTAGGTGATGATTAGAGGGGAGGTCAATGAAGCGAGGTGGAGCTGCTCCAAAAGGTTTCTAACGAGAGGCGGAGGGAGGGGACATAGGTCAGAACCTTCGGCCTGCAGTGGAGATGATGGGGACCCAAGGAAAAAGCTTGAGTTTGGGAAGGGCTTCGTCAACGACAAAGTTGGGGAAGCCGCATGATGACCGACAAAACAACCACCTGGAGGGAGGGCCTTGTCTTGTGGGATTGAAGGGGTGATGGACATCTGAGATGAGAGGATGAGCGACTAGGTGGGATGGCCCATTGGAGCACGCGTGGAGGCCTGATTGTCAGAAGGGGAAAGGGGCTTTTGGCTTGCTGGGGAAAGAGTGAAAAAGGGAACCAGGGGCTGGCCATCCAATCTTGCATCGACCACGGGGTAAAAAGCTGCATTAGGCGGTGGGGCACATGTCACGCACAGCTTGCCCGAGGGAGGAGAGGTTGCCTGGACTTGCGACAGCTAGGTTGGGCTTGTCAAGGAGAGGTTAGACAAAGTGGTGGGTGGTAGGGGATTGAGGTTTGAATTTTTAAATGTCGATTGAGGCACATGGGCTTTTTATTTGTGGTCAAAAGTTATGGGGTAATTTCTAGCTGTTTGATTTGGAGGCCAACGACTGCGCTTTGATTGAGTATGACATCACTCCTAACGATAGTCCACCCATCTGGGGCGGAGGATTTGGAAGGCGGGATGTCCAAAGTTTGAGGAATGGATGCAGGGAGTTTAGAGATACTCTGCATGTTGAGGTGGGTCAGGGGATGGGCATGCATAGTAACGTCCTTCTGCTTTGAGCCAGAAAAAGGGGGGGATGAGGGATGGGAGAGGGATTCAACGAGGAGCTGGATTGAACCCAAAGGAAGGGTGTTGGCTGATCTTTAGTGAATGGAAAGAAAGTTCTCGCAGGCCTTGCCAATCTTTGCTAATGTATTAATGTTCCAGACATGGAGGGGCACATGGGAGGAAAGGAGCCAAATCTTCTGTGGTTTAATCGTCCCCAGGTCCTTGTGCCACCGGCTTAGGGAGAGGGCTGTCTTATGGAAGCGACAGTTGATGGGCTGAGCAAATAGCCTTGTGGAGAGAGGTTTCCGAAGAGGAGAAGAAAAGAAAGTCCTTGGAGGAGAGTTTCCAAGAGAGTTTAGAGATGTCCCAGGATTCCGCAGCTCACCTCTGGATGCCCATGCCCTTGACGTCGTTTTGTTGGGGCATGGAACCAACCAACTAAAGATAGTTGGAGAGACCTTGCTTGGTGTTACGAGATTTTACCCCCTACAGGGGTGGAGAATGGTGCAGCGAGAGGGGCAGTGGAAATTGAGATCGGCTCCGCAAGAGGGGCTGCGACAACTGAGATTAGCGGAGCAGTGATTGAGGAGAAGGGCTCGAAAGGGGGGTTGGGGGGAGAGAGAAGAGGGAGGGGACGGCGTGAGGTATAGCTTCCTTCGGGGGTTGCATCGTATTTGGCATAGAGCGAGGGAAATAGGGGGGACGAAGAGGAGGGGCGATAAGAAGGGTGGCTTTTCATTCGTTTCAAATTTCTAGTACTCGAGCAATTGCTCTTTTCTTTTTTCTTTGTCTTGAAATGCATATATTGTTACTTTCATTTGTGTGCTTTTCTAATGCTTGGTGGAATTTTTTAACAGTAAAAGTAATTTTATATATAATTTCAATTTTTTTTTTTAAAAATTGCATAGCGAGTATAATTATGGAAATCCACCGAGATACTCTATTTCTTATTCTTCACAGGACTGCATGTTATCCTAATTATGCTCATTTTTTGCATTTGGCATTGAAGTCTCAATATAAATCAGTCTAGGTTGAGGTGAGTCCTTTTGGGACTAAAATCTATTTTGGGCATTTCAAGGCCTTTTGACCTGTATTTCCACACAAATTCGCCATTCCCATAGGATGTGCCATGAGATTGCATGCTATTGTACTTGTAATGTTCTTTTTCCTTGTTCTATGGGTTTTTCCCACTCAGATTGGTCAACTACCTCTCCAAAATTGAGGTTCCAAAAACGAATCCACTGAATTGATGAAACAACAGTATGGACCAATAAAAGCATGGTGAAGAATCACCCAATTGAATGTTTCTGCTCCACAAAAAAATTCTCAACTATAAGGTAAAATTCTGGAAGTGAATTCCACTTGCAGATCTCTATATGAATGGGATTATCCTCATGCATTCTTCACTAGGCAGAATTTCCAAAACATGTAACAGGTAAACGAAATGTTTTCCTCAACAAAGCGCACGAATTACGTCTAATTGCTGCTTGACTTCATACTTAAATAGCTTACCTATTACAGACATACGAAGACTATCTCAGGGTTCACGGCCTTGGAAACGAGACACCTAACCATCAGGTCAGTCCTGCTAATGTTAACCTGTTAAGCTTGGAGGGTTACCTCTCTGGTCTTAAAACTTTAGCTGTTTCATGCCATAGGTCGCAGGATTACGAAGAACCATTAGGGGGACGTCGGCAATTGCAGATCAGAATGATGACCAGTAAGTTCCTTCTCTCTCCAGCCTTGGGGGTATTCTAGAAGAAATGGTATCTGACTATGGCTATACATTTCTCAGATATTTGAGATATCTGGCTGATTGGTATCGCTCTCAGAAAGGAACACTAACGGGTACCATGAACATCCCCCACAAATAAATTCGTCGTTATGGAAGTTTTTGCTCCGCGATGCAGACTGGAGGGTTTTGGGTCTTTTACCGCCATAAATCGAGGATTGTACAGCATTAGTTCTATCTGTGATCCTCTTCAATCTGGGGATTTTAATTCTTTTTCCTTTCCGTACTTCTTGTTAAATTTCCCAATTGGGTGTACATGATTTATCAAAAAGCTGTACATATAAACAAGAAAGCAGCATCTCTCTTATTCTTTGTTGTTGTTTGATGATTATACTAGTACTGTAACAGTAGCAACGGTTAGACTTTTTTATTTTGTAATGCTTCAGTGTTCTTTCGACTTGAAGGCTTTTCAAGTCCCATCTTTTCCCTGATAATGTCACTAATAAATTTAATGAAATCATGCATTTGAAAGGCCCCAGGACCTTGTGACTTACATGATAGAATATTTGAGGATGGTTTGACTTGAAATTTGTGGTTCAAAAGATAAGCAATATTGTAAAGTGAGCATCCTCGACTTGATTCAATACAGTGGCAATGCGCAAACTCGATTCTCAAATTTAAGAAATCTGCGTTAGCCCATTTAGTTTTGGGAGCTCTCTGCTCTGGAGGAACACCAGCACTTTGGAGTTTTTTCTATTGGAGGAGTGATTTTTATATTTCACCGTACTGTACAATTATTAATGAAATTTGTTTTGGGTTATGAAATTTATTCTTTAAGAAGCAATGGATTTTATTTTGTGAAAATTATCTTGAACGCATTGTGGTATACATGGCTAATTTTTTGGTGTAGTTTGTGCAAGACGACAACCTTACTTGTAGAGGTAAGGTTGTGGTGTTTTACCCTATCCATTTTAGTTGTTCATTTTTTTTTTAATTTAAATTTTTTTTAAGTTAATATCAAAAAAAGTGGTACACCTTTTGAGATAATGGAAAATCTATATTATTCAAATGGCTGGTATAGATTAATTTAATCTTCTGTAGATTAATGCAATCTTATGTAAATAAGGTTGCATCTCTATGTAAACTTTTTCCTTCTTTAATGATTGCATCTTTATATAAACTTTGTCCTTTTTCCTTGATAATGTTGACTATTATCTATTTTAGAAAAAAATGTATAATGGTAGTTGTACATAAAGGAAAAAGAAAGAACAGGAAGAAGAACAAGAAGAGAGTAATGGGAAGGCAGGATGGAGTTGGGGGAAATGGTTTGGGGAGAATGGTGTTCCTCGCATATTAGGTCTACGTTGCTGCCGTCAAATGCTGAATCGTCATCCTGGGACTCTGAAGCCCCTATCATGCGAGGTGTTATGTGAAGACGTTCTTTTCTCTGTTAGACACGAAAGAACTCTCCCCAAATGGAATGAGATAACTTCATCCAAAAGTGGCCTCAGCCTCCATGAGGTTGCTGCTTTTAAGGATATCCAATTAATTATGTTAGCAGAATCTCGAGCAATGACAACTCTATTGTGGTCTAGGTGTCGGCAGGAAATCCCAGCTCTGTGTGCCTTAAATTCTGCTTTAGCAAAATCTCCAGCAATGACAACTCTATTGTGGTCTAGGTATCAGCGTGAAATCCCAGCTCTGAGTGCCCTAAATTCTGCTACACGCACTGTGCACCGCCTACCAGGTCCTGAAAACATGAATGGCAGGAGACTTTGCTATTTTTTAGGGCTCCTCCAATATCTACTTGGTGTAGGTTCCCAGCTACACTCGTGTCAAACTTAAGCTTGATCCACTCTGAGGGAGGAGTCCATCTGTTGGGTTTCCGTTTTTTAATCACACAGCAATGTGATCTCTCAGATATTAGAAATAAAGTTTGCCTGGTTATCCCACCAAACTATTTCCTTGCCAAAGTCCACATTGCTACCACCTCTTGAATTCTTTCCTTTATCATGCCCAAGCCTACCTTCGAAGATTTTGACATTCCTTTCTTTCCGCATTACCAGTATCACTATAACCATTGCAATTCATAAGGAGGAGTTGACTACTCCATTGCAGCATGAGACCCGTAATTTCAATTGGGGAAACAGGAACTGAGGGCAACAAGGGACAGGCTGAGGATTTCTCTGGAGGTTAACGTATGGTCCTGCAGAGATGGCAGTGGCATCGAGGTGCTGATCAGAGGTGGCAGCGAAAGCGGAGTTTGTGTCGCAGATGTGGTGGCCATCTTGGAAGAATCAGGTTTAGAGGTGAAGTCTTGTTCCTATTCATACTCTTGAGAGTCCTCGTTCCATGGCCTGCGGTGTAAGGTAAGGATGATAGCTGCTTGTTGGAGCGAGGAATTTATGCTCTATCTGAATTAGTTCCATTTCTGCAGGTTCATGAAGGGCAGGAAATTGATATTATCGACATTCAAGAGCAGTTGATGCATCTGTAGGAGGTGATGATGAAACCTTAGTGTGCTTGTGCATGGTGGAGTACTAGTTTTCTTTTCTTCACTGCGAAAGTGGATGAGTGATGGTTTCTCAAGGTTTTCCTAGTAGCACAAATGTTCATTTGATAGTAGTTTTGAGGATTTCCCCTTTGCCAAAAATTTCATCATTTCTCCTAAGATCTAACAAAAGTAATGGTTTAGTAAGGGGATTTTCTTGAATCTCCACTCCAATTACACCTCTATTTTAGCTTTCGGTAATTACTAGAATGTTTAATCTAGTTCACAAGCTTATAGAATCTTAATTTAGATAATTTCCTTACTCTTCCATTGAGATAGTGTCTTCATTATTCGTCGTCGTCATCATCATCTGAGTCTTATCCTAACTATTTGGTGTCGGCTATTATTAAGTATTAACTGTTTTTAGATGATCATAAGTTCAAAAAAAAATTAAATGACTCATTTCATAACTAAGCATCCATAGTTCTCCTAGATTTCTTCAGGTTGTCTTCTCTTGAGCTATTGATACACCTACTTTGGAGGGGATATTCACAAGTTGCTTGGAACTATTATCTAAATATATAACTACTGTGTCCTTTTTCCAACTTTTTTAAATTTTTCTGAAAAGAAAAATAGTTGGGTATGAGTAAACGATGTAATATTTTCAACGAGCATAAAGGAATAAAATATTTTTCAATATGTTTGTGATAAGTTTGACGAGATTTACATAATATGATGCAAGTTCCATTTTTGCCATCGTCTTAACTGACAGTTTGTTTGTTCAATTCCTGCAAACATTTTCAACGAGAAGGTATACAATAGTACATATTTGTAATCTTCATGGATATTAACAACTCCGCAAGCCCTATGATATTTTGGACTTTGAGCTCCTCAACTCGCTCATATATTATAGGAATGTAAAGAGTAAGGGAGATTTACATATAAATTTATCTTTTGGCTTTGATATTTAAAAATAGCCATATATATTTTATAGGGAAAATATCCCCTTACCCCCCTATTTTTAACTTCTATATCTCATAATACCTAAGAATTGAAAAATATTACTTGTAAGCAAAAAGTGTCAATCGTTTCTATCTTACAACCCCCTGGATCTTTTTGGTCACAAATCTTCGACCCAAAGAATTGAAAAAATGATAACCTATCCTTCTTCTCCTTTAGTATTTCGAACCACCCTCTTTCTCTCATCACCGTCTCTCTCTCTCTCTCTCACTCTCAAAATATTCCATTTCTTTCTCTACTAATCAGAGTTGCAGAAGTTCCCTCTCTACATCCTTTCTCTCTCTTAAAAAACCCACAGATTTGAAGCCCTTACTGTCCTGTTGCATTCTTAACCCACCGATCTAAAAATCCTACAGAGCTCTGTATCTTTCGCTACCTCGTCTCTCTCTCTCTGCCCTTTTCTTTCCTGCAACTAAAAGCCCTACAAAGTCCATGGCCATTGTTGATACAACTTGCCGAAAGAAGTAAAGTCTTCTCACCCATGAACTCATTTGTTCAAGAAACTTCTCTTTTACCCAACAAGTTACTGAAACTTTATCATACATAAAGCTCTTCAACTCCCTATTCACAGTTCTCAAAAAAGAAAACAAAAATTTACAGGATTTAAGATCGATAGATTCATTGCTAAAAAACCCATTTATTTAATTCTGCAACTTCAGTTATGGTAATCCATCTCCTTTGTCAGATTAATCTATTAGTGAGGGCAAAGAAAGTCTTGAGCCAATTGAAAAAAAACCCAAACATTTATGGGGTTTTCTTGTATATTATTGTGATTCACTTTATAGTAAAGGATGGTAGAATTAAAGACGTTGAATATACTTTTGAGGAGATTATAGGAAATGGGTCTTTGGAAAAGATAAATGTTTCAACATTTATCAACTATCTCTGCAAATTGCGAGAAGCCATGGAGGCCGAAAATGTCTATCGATGAGTTTTAATGGAGAATGTAATTTTGAAATATCAGAGTTATTTGGTTTTAATTGGGGGTCTCTATCAGAGAAATGAGGCCTTTTTACTTGGAGAGGTCCTTCGAGCCATGGAGCAAAATGGCTTCCAACCAGATTATATCACTTATCTATTGTTGTTCCAGTGTTTTGTAGATTGGGTCTCGTGTATGAAGCTGATATAATTCTTAGAAGTATGATTATGAAAAATTACAGTCTTGATATATGTGTAAATGGGAGCTTCATTCATGGGCTATGCAAATCAAGTAAGCTTAGACAAGCTGGTAATTGGTGCAATATCCCATGTGAGGCCTTGTTGAAGAGCCATTTTCCAATTGAATGTTAGCAGTGCCATCCTTGAGATTATGGCTTATGAGGCCTATTGCAAGTCCCTCTGCAATGTCGGTTTGTTAGAAGAGGCTGGTGTTGTGCTGAAAGCACTGATGAGTAAGAGAAATGTGCCTGAAACTTGTGTTTATGGCTCCTTCATTAGAGGGCTTTGTCGTGCTGGTAGGGTCTCTGAGGCCATGGAATTCTTTAACACCATGAAAGCTATGTGGATGTTCTCAAACGTGTCCTCCCTCTGGGAACACATTTGGATAAAATCCAAAGTTCCAACTTCTTTGAGATGAATACTTATATGTGTGAAAATTGAAATTCATTCTTAATTGGTGCAATATCCGACAAGTTTTTTATTTAAGGCAGCCTGGTCATTTTGATCAACCCTTTGGATTGGCACTGCCAGTTCTTCGAGTCCCTGCTACCAATACAGAGTGGAAAGCAATGAATGACTTAATCATTTGTCTGAGACAAGCTTTGTATCTATTTGGCCCCTCTCTTCGAGTCCCACGGAGAGTGCTTGACATTGCCATTGTCAAGTGGAATGGATCAATGAATAAATCAAAACAAAATTGATCAAGGATTTCTTTTACAAACTAGCCATTAATTGAAATGCAATTGTAATGCCGAAACAATATGAAGTCTATAAGGAAAGTACAATACTGAGATTAATTTATTCTCCTAAATAAAAACCAAATTGAGATAAAAATGAAGTCGTTGTGTCCAAATGATCACAG